ATGCTTACTACCCATAACATTACTGGAAAAAAAAAACACAAATCATTGGAAAACCAATACATATTCTTTTGCTCCGCTCAGAATCTAAAATATGAATTTAAATTACATTTTTATATAAGAGTATTCAGATTAAATGGGCTATTATATGTTATTGGTGGAACAACTATAGGTGACACCAAATAAATTTACGACCCAGTAACCATAATAGTTAATGGAGACTTTGTCAAGATGAGGAGTAGGAATTTTTGGTGGAGTTGTGGTCGATAGGCCTATCAATTATAACTACGAACTCGTAATTCAGCAACATAATATTGACTTAACCCTTTTACTGATCATTTGTTTGATGTTTTTTTTTTTGTTTTTTTAATATTTCTTGATAATAATAAATATAGTAGCATTGAACCATAATGTGAAGTTAAAAAAAAAAATTGATCGACTTGATTTTTAGGTTTTAAGCATAACGACTAGGGTTATATAACTCCTTATTTTTATATATTATGTGTTCGGGCTTTTGTCTTTTTTTAATAATCTTTGTTGTATCATGCTTTTTCATAAATGTATATTTAGTAAAGTTTACTTTAATAATTTTTATATTAAACTATATTTACGTATTTTTTTGTGAACTAGATATACATGTATATTATGACCATTGCTATTATTTTATTTGTATTTTTATTTTTATAAATCATCAAAAATTACATAAAAAAATACGAAATTTATTTACATGGTTATCTATCTATTTTAAGCTTATTTCAAGACACAGATAGTAATGCATTATTAGTTAATAAAGTTTTCTTAATAACATTTTAAAAGACATGTTATATTATTTAGATCGCTTATCAAAAATTCGAATTAGATAGTTTATTGCTTAATAGTGTGCCCACACAGCGTTACAACTGAAAATGTTAGTTATATCACAAAATTAGATCATCTTCCTTCCCACTTTATTCATACTTAGGACTAACAACTTTTATTGTTGTTAAAATTAGTTTGCTTTTTGTACTTGATTAAGACGTATACAATCAATAATTTTAAATTGAAAATAGAATCAATATAAATATATTTAGGTAGTCACTGCAGGGTTTACCTATACGAACTTTTGAACAAAATATATTTAAAAATAATAATAAGTGACCCATAAAAATGTTAAAAAATAAAAAAAAAATATCATATCGAAATTATTCAAAATATTTTGATCATATTAATATCATGGTTCTATATATTATATCCCATGTATATGAAATCACTATTTCCCAATTTCCTAAAGGTATAATTTATGTAATTTTTCAGTCAACTTAATTTCAAACTCTGTTGCAGTGGCTACCACCCAGTTTACCACAAAACAAAACTGGTTTTGACGAGTAAACCGATATCTGTATATAGGTATAGCCGCGTAGTTATATACCTACAATATACCCACCTGCGACTATCGCGAGTAAAAGTAAGTACCTACCTATATAGTGTTTCGCAATGTGTTATACATCCGTTATACCTTATTCTAAATGTCGTCAGATTTATTAGCGATGCCAAAGAATAATAATTGTTATAACGTATTAGGTACCTACCTACTTATTAATTAATAATAACATAGGCGACGTTAGCTGTCCAAACCGAATCATGTCCATTAGACATTTTTACCAACATAATCAATTAAAAATTAGAGTTGTGCTAACTGTTTTAATCGTTTTTCCAATAGAGCACAACACATTTTGTATATAGATACTATAATCGCAGTTCAGACACATTATTTTAATTTTAAGTCATTTTTAAGAACGTGCAAAGGAGCCTCTCCCAGTGGTAGGGAATATAACTGAATGATCTCATTCATCATCGATGAACAGCAAATTATTTTAAATAACTTTAAAACTTTTTTTATAGCATCTTGTCGTAGACAAAATTTGTTGATAGATCAATTGTTATTAACCAACATTATGTAATTATTTCAATGTCAAACTCCAATCACATCTAAATAATGTTCTAGTTTCATCTATATACATTCTATCCGCGGATAAACCAGTTTCCAGTCTAAAAGGATTGTTGCGTAAATACTTCAACCAACACACAATAATAATAATCAAATTACTTAATAAATCACCGAATCTAAAAAAGACGAAAACATTTTCAAAAAAATTATCAAAGATTTTGTTCTTCCGAAAATCCATGAAAATTTACTATAAAAATGTTTTCAAATTCAGAAACATAACAGAATATAATGTTTATATAAAAAAAAAATAACAAATTATTCAAATGTTCAAAAATACAGGACAAAAATTAATTGAATAAACCTACAAAATAGTTAACGTCACAAATACATTTTCCACTTACAAAAAAAAAAAAAAAAACAAGAAAAAACATTTTATAATTTATTAATTACAATGATTAATAATTTTTAAGATTTTTATAAATTTTGTTAAAATTCGAACTTTAAATGATTATAATAAAAATGTGTAACTATATAATCTTAATAATTTTCAATTGCTATTATAACAATATATCAGGAGCGTTGTACTAAATTTTTAAACTTGTTGGCCCAATATAGAAAAAAAAGAACTATAAAAATTGAAAACTGAAAATGTCCGTAAACGGTTAAAAAAGAATCAAAATATTTTTAAAATTGTATGGTGTATAGGAAATGCTAATAAAACCATTCAGTGAAGTTTTCATGTATCTACAGTCATTTGTTTTTTAATTACAACAAAATAAGAAAATCGTTACATGAGAAATCGAGTGAATATCAAATGTTGTAAAAATATGAATTTAAAATGCTCACAAAAATTTAATTTGATTTTCTTGTAGACTTTTTTTTTTTGATAAAGATTGACAAACTTATGAGAAATCTTGTATTATATTTTCAAATCTTAGATTTAAAAAGAAAATTTTTTAAGAATTTCTAACTCGAAATTATTTGCAAATTTTCGTCAATTTTTACGAATTTTATCAATATTTGAACTTTAAATGCTTATAAAAAAATTGTGTCAATGGATTTTTAATTTTTTTCATCTGAATTGAAACATTATACTAGGAGCCTTCTATTAAATTTTCAAGCTTTTTTTAACCAACAACTAAAACTGTGTTGATATTCATAGAAAAAAAAACTAAAAAAAATGGAAACTGAAAATGCCCGTAAACAGTTCAAAATAAGTTAAAATATTTGGAAAATGTTATGGTGTATAGAAAGTTCTAATATATGCATGTGCCTAAGGTCATTTTTTTAAGAGTTGAACCAAAAACCAAAATCAATTTTTTCGAAAACAGATTTTGAGTACAAATTCCCGTTTTTCCTTAATTTCTCTTTTGTTTTTCAAGGTGCTTTTGAAAACTACTAGAAAATTTTTACTTTTGACCCTCCCAAAGTACCAACTAGATTCACTTTCCTATCAGGAAAGTTAATGTTTGTTGAAAATCTAAACATTTTTACTGTCCTAAAAGGTGATGACAGACACAGAAATAAAAATAAAAAAACCCACATCATTGTAAAATCAATACATTTATCGTTTCACTCAGAAATCTAAAATGTAGATACTGATACTAAATACTTATACCATAAACGTTCAGGTACAATTATACCTAATATACATTTAAAATAACAGAGTACAGGCATTTTTTAGACATTATTTTTTTGTACTTTAGGGGGAAACGTCAAAATGATTATGGAAAACTCTAAACACTAAACAGTGTTAGGTATTCAGTGTACACCCATTTTCGAGTGGATAGATTTTGATTATTTTGGTGAAATCATAAGACAGAAAGTATAATAATAAATAATTATAATTATATAATTCCTGTGAATCGACATTTTGATACACCCTTCTTAATATAACACCAATAATACGACTACTTATTCAATATACCTATTGAAGGGCTTGGAACAACAACCAGGTAAATCCGATATATTTAAAAAATTTTTTTAATTTCTAGAGCTGGGGTCTCCAAACTTCTTTATTCAAGGGCCACAGAAAAAATCAAATGCTCCTCTTAGGGCCAAAAGTTTATTAACACATATAATTTTTAATTTTATCAAAATATATAAGGTACCTATATAAATAATATGTCTACTTTATATTTTTGTATAAAATATTGTTTACTTTACAATATACTCAAATAACAATAAATAGGTATAAATATAATATAATATAAATACATTTTTATCTATATTTACCTATGCGCCCTATGCGGGCCACGAGCCGGTTAAAACTTATTCGAGGGCCGTAGTTTGGAGACCCCTGTTCTAGAGTATGCCTTTCAAAAAACAATATTTTTGGCGCAATAACCAAATAAATCCAAAGGCTTCATAACTTTGGACAACTTTGGTCTAAAGAAAAAAAAAGTTAACTAAATTCTAAGTCCACAGCATTATTTTTCATCAAGTTAATAACAGAAAAATTTAACTGTTATAGTCTTAGTATCGATTTATCAAAAAAAAAAAATGAATGAAACAGTTTTTTATCAGCCCTGAAAAATTTCAAAAAGTCGATTTACCTGGTTGTTGTTCCAAGCCCTATTCTAAAACTGATTATTTTTTTAGGTTTATCAGATTAGTAGGTATACCTATCATATTTAAGTTTCTAGGACCTGGCCATGTTACAAGGCACACTTCAACTGAATCAAAACCGTTTTAAAATATCCATTTAAGAAATCCTAACGTTTAAAGTACGATAAAGTTTATATCGAATTACGAGGATATTATTTTTGGATTTAATTGGATATATCACCATGCACTTGTTTACGATGATCAGGTAATAAGCTCAGATTTATTTTAGGTAAGGTTCGTTAGTTTTGTGAATTCAAATGCAAGGTTACGATACCGAGAATACGCCCCGCTATGCCATACTATATCGTTGTGAATGGCCGCGGTAACATCGAGTCACCCGCCGGCGGCGGTGAACCTTACGCTCGGATAACCGTATATATAAAGCCAATCGTCGTCGGTAAACTTCACACTCAGTCAACGTTTAGTGAATCAAACACACTCAACAACCAAAAAAATTTATTTATTTACCATGGCAATCCAAGTAAGTGTCTTTTGTATATTATTCTTAGCTATATAATATGTAATTTTTAAAAAAAATATTTTGCCTAAGTACGTTTTTTTAAGTCACTCGATCATACAAACTGACAAAATAAAGTCTAACGCATAAAATTACAAGTCTGTAAAAGTCATTTTGCATTAACCACATCATTGTAGGTACTTTAAATTGTACCTGCGACTATTTAACTTAATTTTTTTTATGTCATTCAAACATTTATACCTTAAAACTATATTTAAAGCAAATTATAAAACACATAATGCTGTTGGAGACAAAGAACGTTTGTCTTTCGTAGGTATTTGATTCGGTTCAAATATTAATCCAAACCAAAGTTATTTTAAATTAAATCGTAGGTACCTACCTAAGGGTATATCATATTCATCGGATACATATTATATAACTTTTATAATAATAATGGTTAGCCTATTCTCGAAGAACCGTATATTAGTTATAACGAAATATGAAAAAACTGAAGCCTAAGTTCGATTACGTTTGTATAGATCGTAGTTGCACTACCATAATATAATTTGGCCCTTCAGCTTGGTTTATAATAATTACAGGGCAGCGGCCGACCGCGAGAAAGTGATTTAATTAATTTACGTTATAGTCATATAACATATACCTACTTAATATTTTGAACGTCATCTAACCTTGTACCCTAAAACGTATAACTATAAATTATAATCTATATCATATCAATTTTATATAGCACCTATATAGATAATAATAATAACAGTACTCAATAATAATATCGCGCAATACTTCATTTAGTATTTAGTATTTACCATAACGGACAGGATAATGATTAATATATTATATTATACGGCGGTAGATACACTACATAATATAGCCTATTGCCGGTTCAACAAACATTATTAATATCACCGTCCGTTAAACGATAACGATAATCATATATTACATATTATTATATCATATTGTGCAAAATACTAAATAATACCATATTAACTTGTGCCATTCTCTTGTTGCAGACCGTCGCCGTCTTCGCCTGCGTGCTCGCCGCCGCACTCGCCGCCCCCGCCTACCCGACACCTGCTGCTTACCCAGCACCCGCCGCCGCCTACCCAGCACCCGCTGCATACCCAGCACCCGCTTACTCCGCACCCAAGTCCTACGCCCCGGAACCTGCCTACGCCCCAGCCCCATACAACTTCGAATACAGCGTGCACGACGATGCCACATACGACATCAAGAGCCAGTCCGAATACAGCGACGGCAACGGTTACGTCAAAGGATCCTACAGCCTTGTCGAGCCCGATGGCACCAAGAGAATCGTCGAATACACCGCTGACGACTACAACGGTTTCGTCGCCGAAGTGAAGAAAGAAGGCACACCGTCTTACAGCTCCGCACCGGCCTACAAGCCAGCATACAAGGCCCCAGCTTACTCCGCACCAGCCCCAGCTTACTCCGCACCAGCCCCAGCTTACTCCGCACCAGCTTACTCTGCACCAGCCCCAGCCTACAAGCCAGCATACTCTGCCCCAGCTTACTCTGCACCAGCTCCAGCTTACTCCGCACCAGCTTACTCTGCACCAGCCCCAGCTTACTCCGCACCAGCTTACTCCGCACCAGCACCAGCTTACGGATACTCCACCCCCGCCCCGGCTTACGGACACGCCGCCCCAGCCTACAAGCAATCGTACGCCGCCCCAGCATACAAACAATACTAATTTATAATTAATTTAAACATCAAATAATTTATTGTATGTTTTTGTAAATAAAATTTCAAATTGCCAATACAAAGTTTTATTTTTTAATTTTAGATTTTGAGTGGAACGATGAAAGTATTGATTTTACAATGATGTGTGTTTTTATATTTTTTTTTTATTTTTTAGATTCTGAGTGAAACGATGAATGTATTGATTTTACAATGATGTGTGTTTTTTTTGTGTCTGTGTACACGATAAGTAGTCGAAATAATGCTTCGATTTTCAACTTCAGTATCTTGTTCGATTGGAAAGTGAATATCGTTGGTGCATTGATAAGGTCAAAATTTAAATATCCCAGTAGTTTTCAAAAGCGCCGGGAAAAACAAAAGAAAAATTAAGGAAAAACGGGAATTTTTACGCAAAATCGGTTTTCCCAAAAATAGATTTTGGTTTTTGGTGTAACTTTAAAACAAATGACCGTAGATACGTGAAATTTTCAGTGGTTGTTTATATTTGCATTTTCTATACACGATAACATTTTCAAAATATTTTGATTTATTTTGAACTGTTTAGGGACATTTTCATTTTTCATTTTTTTTTTGTTTTCTTTCTAGAAATATCAATAAAAATGTATTTGTTGGTTAAAAAAACTTGAAAATTTAATAGAAGGCTCCTAGTATATTGTTTCAAAGGCAGATGAAAAATATTAAAAATCGTTAGTCGCAGTTTTTTTTTTATAAGCATTTAAAGTTCAAAAATTGACAAAATATGGAAAAATCACGAAAATTAGCAAATTATCTTGAGTTAAGAATTCGTAAAAATTTTTCTTTTTAAATCTAAGATTTGAAAATGTAATACAAGATTACTTATAAGTTTGTCTACCTTATCAGTATATATACCGTATCAGGGTTTGTTATTGATGTTGATGTATAACGTGTTATAAGTACCTAATGGATATTGTGATAATGTGATATGATTAATTTGGAATTTATTATAGGTCAATTTTTTTTTTAATACCATAGTTATGTATATAATTTGTCTTAAACCTAGACCGACATACCGTCTTCGCTCAGAATCGTTTTTCTTATACAATGATATTGTATCATTGAATTCAAATTTAATAGCATCCATTATACAGTGACCTACTGTACATCAGAGCGACATCCACTTACCCACCTTTTTTTTTTTTAATTTTTAATTTTTTAATTTTTTAATTTTTGTGTCGCTGTACACTATAAGTAGTCGAAATAATGCTTCGATTTTCGACTTCAGTATCTTGTTTGATTGGAGAGTGAATATCGTTGGTGCATTGGGGAGGTCAAAATTTAAAATTCACAGTACTTTTCAAAAGCGCCAAGAAAAACAAAAGAAAAATTAAGGAAAAACGGGAATTTTTACGCAAAATCGATTTTTTAGAAAATTGAATTTGGTTTTTGGTGTAACTTTAAAACAAATGACCGTAGATACATGCAATTTTCACTGTTTGTTTATATTTGCATTTTCTATCCAAGATAACATTTTCAAAATATTTTGATTTATTTTGAACTGTTTAGGGACATTTTCCTTTTTCATTTTTTTTTAGTTTTTTTTCTAGAAATATCAATAAAATTTTATTTGTTGGTTAAAAAAACTTGAAAATTTAATAGAAGGCTCCTAGACCCTAGTATATTGTTTCAAAGGCAGATTATTATGAAAGATTATGAACTTTAAAGTTTAAACACTCATAAAAATTTAATTTTATGAACTGTAGATACATGACAATTTCACTGAATGTTTATATTAGGATTTCCTATACACCATACAATTTTGACAATATTTTGACTTATTTTGAGCTGTTTATGGACATTTTCAGTTTTCAATTTTTTTAGTTTTTTTTTCTATAAATATCAATAAAGTTTTATCTGTCGGACCAAAAAGTGTAAAAATTTAATACAAGCCTCCTGATATATTGTTACAATAGCAATTGAAAAATATTAAAAATACATAAGCATAATTTTTTTTTATAAATATAATATTTTTTTTAAACAAAGATTCTCTTAAATAATTCATACTGTAACCAAAAAATCTAAGCAATATATGAACACAGTTATTTTTTACAGACATTTTAAATTCAAATTTGGACGAAATTACATAATAAAAACCCTAGAATAACTTTTTTAGTTATTTTGTTGTGATTGTAAAATATTTTTCGTGGGTACTTGAAACTTCTAAATTTACTACTATATATCTATGATAGTATCAGGGTTTGTTGTTGGTGTATAACGCGTTATAAGTACCTAATGGATATTGTGATATGATTAATTTGGAATTTATTATATGTACCTATTATAGGTCAAATTTTGATTTAGTACCATAGATATGTATATAATGTCTTATACCTAAACTGACATGTCGTCTTCGCTCAGAATCGTTTTTCTTATACAATGATATTATATCGTTGAATTCAAATTTAATATCATCCATTATACAGTGACCCACTTGTAACCTACTGTACAGCAGAGCGACACCCACTTGCCCACCTTTTTTCAATGATGCGTGTTTTTATATTTTTTTTCTAATTTTAAATTTTTAAATTTTATTTTTATTTTTGTGTCTGTGTACACGATAAGTAGTCGAAATAATGCTTCGATTTTCGACTTCAGTATATCTTGTTCAATTGGAAAGTGAATATCGTTGGTGCATTGGGGAGGTCAAAATTTAAAATTCACATTACTTTTCAAAAGCGCCAAGAAAACCAAAAGAAAAATTAAAGAAAAACGGGAATTTTTACGCAAAATCGATTTTTTAGAAAATTGAATTTGGTTTTTGGTGTAACCAAAAAATCTAAAAATATATAAACACAGTTATTTTTTACAGACATTTTAAATTCAAATTTGGACGAAATTACATATTAAAAAACTTAGAATAACTATTTTAGTTATTTTGTTGTGATTAAATAATATTATTCGTGGGTACTTGAAACTTCTACTTGTATCACGGTCTTTGTTGATGTATAACGCGTTATAAGTACCTAATGGATATTGTGATATGTTTAATTTGGAATTTATTATAGGTACCTATTAAAGGTCAATATTTTGTTTTATACCATAGATATGTATATAATATGTCTTATTATACATAGACCGACATACCGTCTCCGCTCAGAATCGTTTTTCTTATACAATGATATTATATCGTGGAATTCAAATTTAATATCATCCATTATACAGTGACCCACTTGTAACCTACTGTACAGCAGAGCGACACCCACTTGCCCACCTTTTAGATTCTGAGCGGAGCGATGAATGTATTGGTTTTACAATGATGTATGTTTTTGTTTATATTTTTGTGTCTGTCATCACGTTTTAGGACAGTAAAAGTGCTTGGATTTTCTTCATCAGTATCTTGTTCGATTGGAAAGTGAATATCGTTGGTGCATTGGGGAGGTCAAAATTTAAAATTCCCAGTACTTTTCAAAAGCGCCAAGAAAAACAAAAGAAAAATTAAGGAAAAACGGGAATTTTTACGCAAAATTGGTTTTCCAAAAAATCGATTTTGGTTATTGGTGTAACTCTAAAACAAATGAACGTATATACATGCAATTTTCACTGGTTGTTAATATTTGCATTTTCTATACACGATAACATTTTCAAAATATTTTGATTTATTTTGAACTGTTTAGGGACATTTTCATTTTCCATTTTTTTTTAGTTTTTTTTCTAAAAATATCAATAAAATTTTATTTGTTGGTTGCGAAAGCTTGAAAATTTAATAGAAGGCTCCTAATATGTTGTTTCAAAGGCAGATGAAAAATATTAAAAATCCTTAGTCACAATTTTCTTTTATAAGCATTTAAAGTTCAAAAATTGACAAAATATGGAAAAATCACGAAAATTAGCAAATTATTTTGAGTTAAGAATTCGTAAAAAATTTTCTTTTTAAATCTAAGATTTGAAAATGAAACACAAGATTCCTTATAAGATTATCTACCTTTATCAATAAAAAAATTTCTACCGGAAAGTCAAATTAAATTTTTATGAGCGTTTGAAATTCAAATTTTTACAACATTGGATATTCACTCGATTTCTCATGTGGCAATTTCCTTTTTTTGTTGTAATTAAAAAACGAATTACTGTAGATACATGAAAATTTCACTGAATGTTTATATTAGCATTTCCTCCTATACACCCTATAATTTTGAAAATATTTTGACACTTTTTGAGCCGTTTACGGACATTTTCAGTTTTCAATTTTTTTAGTTTTTTTTTTCTATAAATATCAATTAAGTTTTATCTGTTGGGCCAAAAAGTGTAAAAATTTAATACAAGGCTCCTGATATATTGTTACAATATCAGTTGAAAAATATTAAAAATACATAGGCACAATTTTTTTTTATAAGCATTTTAACATCGAATTTTGATAGAATTTTTCAAAATCTCGAAAATTATTAATCATCGTAATTAATAAATTATAAAATGTTCAGTTTTTATAGCTAAGGATTGAAAATTTAAAACAAGATTCCACGTAAGTAGTTAATTCTCTTACCGAAAAATCTAAAAAATATACAATCACAGTTTATTTTTATAGTCATTTTATGTTCAAATTTGGACGAAATTACATATTAAAAAACCTAGTTATTTTGTTGTGATTATATAATATAATTCGTGGGTACCTACTTGAAACTTCTAAAGTACACTATATTATATATCTATGATAGTATCAGGGTTTGTTATTGATGTATAACGTGTTATAAGTACCTAATGGATATTGTGATATGATTAATTTGGAATTTATTTTAGGTCAATTTTTTTTTTAATTCCATAGATATGTCTGATATAATTTGTCTTAAACCTAGACTAACATACCGTCTTCTAAATAAAATACAATTACCAACACACGGTGACATTTATTTATATATTATTATAAACAATAAAATATAATATGTACCTAGCACTTATACCGCTAAATTTCTATAATTTACTAAGTATAGATTATGTTATTTATTATTATTAGGTACATGTATAGGTTTATACTTTACAGCA